TTTTTGAATGTTTGAACTCCATTAACAACCGTATCGAAGATTTTTCTACCTAAAATGTATAATTTTGTCTCTGAGGTCTTTCTGGAAAGTCTAAAAACTCAGAAAAACGATAAATTTTCCTCGCCTTATTCCATACTTGTTCCAATCACAATTTTAATAATTAAATTTCTGAATTACACTGAACATTCGATACTCATACTGTCTAACGGCAGAACTGCCGGCCAAATTATGCACGCAGGAACGTTCCTTATATCTGCATCTAATTAATTCTCTATTATTTGTCGTGATTATCTTATGTCTAAGCATTGCGACTGAACTATACCATGCTTATATACATACCGTCTCTGCGGAGTTTACATCCCAGGAAAAAATTAACTGATTTCCAGAAGAAGTAAAGCTTGCTCCAGGTGGAAGAGAAGGAACATCGAACGTTAGCTCATCGTCATCCGGATCTTCGGCATCCAAAACCAGGTTGAACGTCTCTCCCAACGTAACGTTCATAACAGTCAAATTTTGGGTAAACATGGGAAGACTGTTTTCTATATATCGTTAGAAATACATAATTTATTACTTTGATGTTCTGTACTTCTGTTAATGTTATTGCTGCGGTGTAATGGCGGTAGGATATTTGAGTTGTTGGAAATTTCAGATTTTATACCGTATTCTAGCCATATACGCCACCAAACAGACTCTCTAAACTGATACTGATAACACGCCATCATGCAAATATAGTCGCATTATTTGGATAAAGTATCCAAGGTTTTTATACCCATACATTATAAGTACTGATTAATAATTTTGAGGTAGTGACAATATAAAGGTTTAGCATTTTTGCACAAGTGAACATAACAAATCCTATACAAGGTGATTGGTCAAATTTGACGTATTAATCTGTTATATTCACCTACAGGTCAGAGGAGGAATGAGGGTCTTTCCGAAATGCAACGCGCGAATCAGTGCGGCTCATTATGATTCAAGATGTTTATTCTCAACGCGCGTTCGATTAAAAACTGTTGAAATATATTGCGATTTTTCTGGCAACAATCAAACTCTGCTGAAAAGATCCTTTTTTAACTTTTATTTTCTTTTTGTTGTTTTGGATGCAAAATCCTCAGTTTTATCTTTCCTAATGTTGCCTTCAACTTCTTCATGCTTCATAGGCTAATTGTCAATCGTATAGTACACAGAATGCAATTTTATTTCATTTAGCTTTATATCTTACTAAAAATTGCGGAGAAACTGCCTTATAAAAAGGATAAATATCTGACTAACAAAGTCAACATGGTTTAGCATAATAAGTACATACCCACTTGTGATATTTCATTGTTTATGGTAGTGATTTCTGATAATGTTGATTCACCAATTGAAACATCCTTTGTTGCCGCGATGTCAAAAATGCACGAGATGTCATCACCACAAACTCGTTCAGCTTCTGTCCTTAAATCTGCATCCATATCAGCGAGTGCTTCGTCAAGGAAGATTGGAACAAAGCCGTTCGGGCATGCGAACGCAACATCGTCGTCATCTATGTTTTCGTATATTATTTCACTATTGGGTACTCTCCCTACATGCGGATGAAAAATGTTATATTATCATCTCCTATATATATCGCAGTTTCAAAACAGTTACGTATAAGTTACTTATGTATGCTGCTACTCGTGTGATATTTTCTACGTTGATATATGATTAATTACATGCACTGCATCAGTCCAAATAGAAAATGACAATGACATTAAATCACTTTCTGCACCTTCTACAGGTATAACAAGTTTATCAGGGGTAATTGACTGTCTGCAATAATTAGAAATAAACTCACATGCTTCACCAAATTTATGAAAAATTTCTGAATCATTCATATTAATTGGTAAAACGGTTCCATCCGGTAAGGTGAAGTCGTCTTCCATGTTGCCGTTCCATTTTCCTCCTAATCCAACTGATGAATTTTCGTAAGAAGATAAGAACGCCGTCACAAATGTAAAAAACGTGCCGTTTGCTGCTTCTTTAATTCGTACTCCACTTCCAAGCGGTGTTCCTATTTCAAATGTGTCATTGGCCAGAGATAGAACAATGCCACTGTCCAGTTCTGTTGCATTCGAACTAGGAGTGAAATCACTGCCATTGACTCGTATTTGCAGACCACCTTAAGTTAAGAAATAAATTAGAAAAAACGTAAGAATCTGGAGACGGGTAATATAATTGTGGTTATAATTAACAATTATTCGCCAAAGCGAAGTGAATACCGGCGAATATTCACCGAGACAAAGTCGTAGTGAATATTCAGCGGAATGACTGAGCCTGAGGTGAATAATTATTTTAGTATAAATTTTTAATGAATGGAACAAAATATCCAAATATCAGTTCAATTAAAATTTGAAAGAAAACTGTTTTCGGCCGGTTCCCGGTCAATGTCTGAATAATGATTAAACATAGCTTTCAATATCTCTAAGTGGTTCTGAAAGATAATTCAAAGTAAAGTATTGATCGGTGGCAATTTCAGTTGTGTTGACTGCCCAGTAGAAATGTGGTGCTGCGCGATAGCTGACGCAAAAAGGTAGCAAACTATCTTTTGTGCTTTAGGCTGTTCACTAGTACTATAGATAAGGGGCCATTCACAAAGGATGTCCAAGCCGGGGAGGGTTTGGAGAAGAAATCAGGACAAACTCGGACATAGGGGGGGAGGGGTTTTTTTTTAGCAATCCGGATGTCCGAAATTTAAAAAAATTCAAAAACAAATTTCTTTTTCCCTCTATTTTGAGCAGTCCTTCCCATTGTGAAATTGGCATTTTAACTATGCGGTTAACACTAGATTTTGTTTTAATTAGTAATTTATATGTTTTTGTGTTCACATTTACAGTTATAAAAAAGTTCTAAAAGTAAAAAAGTTGTTTACTCTTGATATATACAAGTTTGCTTGAGTTTTTGCGAGGCATGGCGGATGTCCGGGGGGAGGGGGGGTCACTAATTCGGACAATGCCGGACAAGGGGGGGAGGGGGGGTCTGAAAATCCATCATTTGGCCGGACATCCTTTGTGAATGGCCCCTAAGTGATATAGGAGTCATTTATTATTATAATTGGCAGTCCTATGCTTCTTAATTAAACAATACTTTCCAAACGCTTCTTTTCCCGGCTTATGATATGTGATTACTTATTACTACACAGTGTAAAAGACCTAATATCAAAATGTTGTGCATTTCACAGGATAGAACAAAATATTGGCTTGTGTAGATGGAAATTATTTATAAACATCATGTGTATACCTCCTGATCTTAGGTTGACTTGAACGACTTCTGTATTACCCTCCTTGACAGCAATTCCGGTAAAACCAGTTGCATTAACATTGCCAATCCTTGTTGTGCGAACTTGAACCACAAGAGAGCTTTCGTTGTTACCTAATACAAATATAGAACTGTAATGTTAAGACAGTTACTTACGAAAATAGAATTTCCGGGATGAACATTGTGCCGCAAATAACCAAAACATCAATTGAAAAATGTTTGGAAATTCGTCTACACGATAGGAAATTCAAACCTATAATTAGATATATTATTTGTTTTTAATGGATTTCATTCAAATATTTCAGGTTTTCCCATGCTAACCAATTCGTGTTTTGCGACTGGGATACAATAATTTGCAGACTAATCCCACCCTCATCCCATCCAGCTCCGTTCCTGCATGTCCAGCATATTTGAGAACTTTAATTAATTGACCTGAGTGAAACGTTGAATGTTAAGACTGTTTGTTTGAGCTATGCTGCATGGACCGTCGAACCGGAATTTAAGCCCGCGGAGTTAATGTGATATCTCACCTCCTTCGGTTTCAATGTCAATAAAATCTCGAAAACATACAACAAATATATACGAGGCGAGATCTTGCCTCTTGCGATTCACTCTGGCACATACGGTCCAGCCATCTAAATTTAGATGATGCTATACCCTGAGACTGAATTGCGATACACATGGTAAACTGAAAAATTGCTTGACGGGAATCTATCTCGCGACCTATAGTTGAACTACCCAAGCTGCGAGGTCAAGTAGGTTCAAGCAGGTGATCTGTATTTACAAATATATTCATCCACCGTATATGAGCTATTCTGCAATCTGTTTAGTCGAGCTATTCGCTTTAGATTAACTTAATTAATAATTTGCTGGATACCTTTGAGACGAATATGTTGCAAAATATTTAATTCGAGACTTCAATATTGTGACACAATATTTGTAAGTCGAAACGTAATATTTTTATATCTTATAGCGAAGATGAATTACAATGGGTTAGAGATTAGAGGTTATGAGTAGAGGTTAAGGAAGGGGTTAGGTGCGGGTATATAATGTTCCGGTATTATTGTGTAATACAACCGCTAGTCATTAATGAACCAGTCAAATGAATACGTGGACAAATAGCCAAAGCTCTTTGGTTTTCGTGACCGGACAAATAAAAACTTTCTTTTGTATTAAAATTTTGTGACTTTAATGTGATAAACTTTAAGAAAAAAGCAGATAAGGTGAACATTTTATACATGCTCATGGTATCAATAAAAAATTACGATTTAAATAAGCATGAAAAGAGTTTCTGACCTGGTATTTCTCCTGTGAAATACGTATACCATCCACAACCATTGAAGGTATAGTTTTTGCCATCAAGTGAAACAAAATGTGGATCACCAAACATGCTAGCTGAAATGTAATAATATTTTAAAACAAAACGTTTCCATGGAGTATAAACGTGAGAAAATGTACAATCACTTTCAAAAGTTGTTGGCACACATGCCGTTTTAGATTACAAGTCGATCCGATAGAGTTGGTCCCATAAAATTCGGCACCCCTTCCCCTCACACCTTTGTTGGAATTAAAGATTTTGTGTGGCATCTGATCCAAGACATTTGAAACTGATTGTAGGTTATGAAACCGGGTAACTAAATAACGGTATCGGGTGACTGAATGACATAAACTGGATACTTGCATGTAACCACATATTTATAGATCAAATAACTATAACCGGCAGGTTGCCAATTAACCTGTCAATTGAATATTGAGGGAAAGCACTTACCCCATCTTGTTGGGAAAAACCAAAACGAGGTTTTGCAAGTCGGGCGAATGCTGTAGAATCGCGAACACGATTGCGAGGTACTATCTGATCGAGTGCAGCAATCATTGTATGCGTCCTGTTCTTCCAAAAATTTAGCATTATTTCTTCGTGGATGGTATGGATGCCAGTGCCCTGCGCCTTTTGTCGGAAAGCTATTGAGGGAGAATCCGCTATAGTAGCGGTATCTATATCGAAAATTGAAAGCGTAATAGTAATAAAGGGAAAAGGGGTTGTAAAAGTAGTATTGGGAAATAGAGAATCCGTAATAAGTGTAGCAACATTCATCGGCATCTTGTCGTCTCCAAGTAGTGCTAAATATGCAGTAGTTTGGAAAAAATGAATTTCCTTCTTTGGATCTTTGCACAATTCTATACCAGCGTGATCCCAACGCGAATCTTGCCAAATCTAAAGTGGGTGGGCATGAAAGTCGACACGATCTTCTTGTTATCCCATTGTATAGTTGTTGACTGACCCAAGACTGACAGCGTTCGGCACTCGTGGGTGGCTCTGGGACTTTTTTTCTGAGATCAATTCCAATTTTGCCACGCTCCCTTAATTCACGACCGCTGTCGATGAAATCATCAACTTCTTCGACTTCAACAGAACCGGAACTGTTACAATGATGGAAACTTTATTACTTTCAATAATACATTTGAAATTTTGTACAGTAATTAAAAACCAAACAAATGTTCCATCTATCAACTCAAAATATGATTAAAACTTTTAAATTTTGTGCGGAAGCCATTTTTAGTTTGTTGGAAATGACACGCACCCCTGCTTTACACAATTTGAGTTCGAGAAATATTTTCCATTTTTCTACATTATAAGTACACAATTAGCTATATACATCAAAAACTGGATACTAATAGCTGTTTTGCGAATTTAAATAATTATATATATTTATATATGTATATATGTATATATATACTACAATGATAAACCTCTCTTTACAGGTAGTTTACCAGTGACTACTTGATTTAACACGGCTACATAATAACAATATTAGTAAGGCATTAGTTGTGGGTAATCCCATTCTTTGTTACGCTTACAGAAAATATAATACGAGGACCTGATACATATGTTAATAATTTTCCGAACATAGTACTTTCTACATTGTTCATCAAACTTTAGATCTTAGCTTTTAGCATTTCGGTGAAATCTAGCGACGAATGACTGAAAACTCTTAATGAACTAATCGATAAATTTAATTTACAAATTTTACTTTTTCATAATTTTTGAGCTGTTCATTAATTAGATCTTGATATTTTTGTCTTTTTCGAGTTGCATTAGGGAGGAGATTAGATTCAAATCCGACCGTAAGTTCAAGTATATAAATACATTTGTTCTCAAGTGTTATCAAAAGATCCGGGCGTAATTCATCTCCGGTGAAAACAGATGGACTTATATAGCCAGGAAGGTCAGCATAAAGGTTAGAATGGTCCACAGATTTGAATATGGATGCTATAAAGTTAAGTACCGAATCATGAAGACACGTGAAACGTCCTTCATAATAATAATAATAATAATAATAATAATAATAATAATAATAATAATAATAATAATAATAATAATAATAATAATAATAATGATAATAATAATAATAATAATAATAACAATAATAATAATAATAATAATAATAATAATAATAATAATAATAATAATAATAATAATAATAATAATAATAATAATAATAATAATAATAATAAATCGTAAAATAGTAAATCCGGATTTTCCCATTTCTTATTTCGGCAACAAAAAATGTAATATGTAGTTCTAATAGCAATAGTCATCATTTTCCTAACGCAGTACATTTGGTGGTTTTTGTCAAGACCAATACTATCTAATATGTCTAAAAATGTAAAACATTCTTCTGCAAAAAATACCTAAAGAGCTGATGGAGAGATTTATAAATTTAACTTGGTTAAAATTTTTACCTAGCTGTCTCAATAATTCTCTATATTTATCCTTCTTCCGTTTTACGTTGTTTTTGAGGTTTGTCTCATAACCAGTGGTGAGTTCAACCACATATAAGGAACCATTTGGGCACGATAATAACAAATCTGGGCGATACGTATCACCTGTAAGTATTGAAGGGCTTTTGAATCCATTTAGATCAGCGTAGAGAGTAGAACCGTCAACAGTTTGTAACTGATGAGCAAGAAAGTTCAGGACTGATGTCTAATAATAATAATAATAATAATAATAATAATAATAATAATAATAATAATAATAATAATAATAATAATAATAATAATAATAATAATAATAATAATAATAATAATAATAATAATAATAATAATAATAATAATAATAATAATAATGGAAACTTTATTTCTTTCAATAATATATATACACACTACAATGATAAACCTCTCTTTACAGGTAGTTTACCAGTGTCTACTTGAATTAACACTCTACATAATAACAATATTAGTATGACATTAGTTGTGGGTTATCCCATTCTTTGTTACGCTTACAGAATATATAATACGAGGACCTGATACATATATTAATAATTTTTCGAACATAGTACTTTCTACATTGTTCATCAAACTTTAGATCTTTCAGCATTTCGGTGAAATCTAGCGACGGGTGGCTGAAAACTCCTAATGAGCTAATCGATAAATTTACAAATTTCACTTTTTCATAATTTTTGAGCTGTTCGTTAATTAGATCTTGATATTTTTGTCTTTTTCGAGTTGCATTAGTGAGGAGATTAGATTCAAATCCGACGGTAAGTTCAAGTATATAAATACATTTGTTTTCAAGTGTTATTAAAAGATCAGGGCGCAATTCATCTCCGGTGATAACAGATGGACTGATATAGCCAGGAAGGTCAGCATAAAGGTTACAATGGTTCACAGATTTAAGTATGGATGCTATGAAGTTAAGCACCGAATCATGACGCCACGTGAAACGTCCTTCATTTAGGTAGGTCTTGCATCCAGCGACGACGTGAAGAAGTGATTCTGGATTCAAACAAATAATAATAATAATAATAATAATAATAATAATAATAATAATAATAATAATAATAATAATAATAATAATAATAATAATAATAAATAATAATAATAATAATAATAATAATAATAATAATAATAATAATAATAATAATAATAATGGAAACTTTAATAATTTTGTTATATACTATATATATACAATTGTAAATCTCACTAATTTAAGGTAACTTACAATTGGCTATTTGAATCACAACTATATCAACTAATAAAAGACAGGATACATGAAAATATATAAATATACAAGACAATCAGATATTTCAAATAGTTAATAGTTATACTTTCCCATTCCTTATTTCTGCAGCAAAAAATATAGTATGTACTTCGAATGGCAATAGTCATCATTTTCCTAACACAGTACGTTTGGTAGTTTTTGTCCAGACCAACATTTCCTAACATTTCTAATAATAATAATAATGATAACAATAATAATAATTCGGGTAGGTGGAGCTCGTCAACCTTGGATAGTAGTTCACCTAGGAGAAGGAATCTCTGATTTTCAACCAGGGCATATGAGGCTCTTCAGCCTTGGCTAGCAACTCATATAGTGGTAGTTCCACGACGAAATCAACTCGTAACTCAAGATGTCAATCGTGTCGATGAGTGAATGGCCACTGCGTCATGTGATCGCTAACGATGGCTGATAGGAAGTAGCGACACCTGTCAGTAATAGCTTTATCCTGAGAGTCGGACAACACAGGATGGATATACAACCCGTACACACTACATGAATCTCATATATATGGATGAAAAATTATGAACACTACTAATGTAGAAGACAACGACGTAAATGAGACTGGAACGACTAGTGAAGGTCCCTCGTCCGGCAGGTGTCCTGTGGATCAGCAGCACAGGCCCAGTAGTCATGCTACTGCTGAAGCTATAAGATTGAAATGGACAAAAGAAATCAATGTTGTCATAATGGAGTGCTTTTATTTAAGTAAGCCGTTTAACGAAAATGGAAAACCTCAACGAGGATACCGACAGCGAATGCATAGGATCTGGAATGAGAGAGGAGTGTTTCCCGCAACAGAACAAAGGATTTGTGATCAAGCTAGAGCAATAAGGAAGAACGGTTGGTTAACAGACATTGAACTGGAGAGTATAAAACAAAGAGTATTAAGTGAGGAAATAAATCATGGAGAATGTGATTTGGAAAGAGAAGAAGAAGTGGGATGTGATATGACCATGAATGGAGAAATGAGAAATAAAAATGAGGAGACAGAAAGTGGAAGGAATGTAGAATATCGAGAAGATACACAGACAACAGAGCAATCTGAGGAGAGAGCAGAAGAATGTATTAGATCTGAAGGATATGGAGAGCTAAGTAAGGACGAGATTGTTGATAGGATAATCGAGATCATGAAAGGTGAAGAAGATTATTAAGTATTCACATTTAAGAGAGCTTGTCTGTAAAAATCGCAATAATTCACCATTTTCTGGCAGATATGAAAAACTGAAAGTTCTTCAATTTCCCTCGATTTTATATATATTGTAGACCTATCCAACCCCACATATTTACTGAAGTTTCAGCCATGAAACTCAAAATGAAGAAAAGTTAGAGTACTTAAAAAGTCGAACCAAAAATGACGCGAAATGTCCAAGAAATGTCGCCAAATACAGCAGTAAACATCATGCATGTGCTGTGCTGAGCGCGCATTATAAGTTTTGATCTGCTGTTCCAGTATATGTTTTTAGAATATATGGAACTTTCTCGTGATATTTTTTCTCCATAAATCGAAATGTTATTGACTTGGTTATTTTAGATCAAAGATGGTTGAAATTTCCGGGTTCTCCAAACTAGCCAAAGTACGTCTTGGAAATCGCCTATTTAAACATGGTCCTACTTTCTTTGTAAATGTAGATATGCATAATTCGTTAGGGCTAGGATGTAGCCATTCGACGACGATTTCAGATGTTTGGGATTCTTTTGTGTCTTGGCGAAATTCGATCTTAAACATGTACAATATTAGCGTAATTACGTGCTTGGATTCTATTAACCGGCGCGTTACGATCCAATATCTTACGCTTGTTCTACTCAAAAAGTTAACATGCTTCACTGTAAATGACACTGAGAACACACAGTTTACTTCTTAATAATTTTCTTTGCATTCAAGTTACTTTGTCTACAGTATATGTGTATATACATACTGCGTGCACGCACGTACGTATGCACGACTAAGCATGCATTTTAACTTTTTCCGAACGTAAAAAACATAGCCGCAGCCCCAAGGTTACATGGCTTTAAATTGCGGTGCCCGTCCAAGTTTGACACCGGCTTTACTGATTCTGTCTGTGAGTTTGTACGTTTATGCGGAATCACAAGCATATTTACTTCATGTAATCTCTAAGGTAATAATTATTTTTTATCGCCGCTAACGCTGCGTATTTAATTGTTTACATTTCCTATCGATACATTCATGTACGACTTGCATTTTATTACACATACTTTGCAATTTAAACAAATGGCCCCAAACGGCCTTCGAGGCTGTCAATTTCCCGTTTGTAATCTAAAATAACTGAAAATTACAAACTTCGCAAGGCTATATTTTACGCATTTTACAACATTTCGCAACGAAACGTTGGAATATCACTAATTTTGTGATGCTCTTTCAAGCAGGGATGAAATTTTTGCCTAGACTTGTTTAGATCAAAATTTAGTCTATTACGCAAAATAATGGTCTATTGCGGACAAATTAATACAAAATTTGCAAATTTCGCAGGGCTATATTTCCGTCATTTTACAACATTTTGCAACCAAACTTTGTAATTTCACTTATTTTAACATGCTCTTTCTAGCTGTGCTGATGGATTTTGTTTTTCTTGCCCAAATCAAAATTTAGTCTATAGCTGGAATTGCCCATTACGCTAATATTGTGATGTTTAACTGCAAATTTCGCCAAGACACAAAAGAATCCCAAACATCTGAAATCGTCGTCGAATGACTAAATCCTAGCCCTAACAAATTATGCATATGTACATTGATAAAGAGAGTAGGACCATATTTAAATAGGCGATTCACAAGACGTACTTTGGCTAGTTTGGAAAACCCGGAAATTTCAACCATCTTTGATCTAAAATAACCAAGTCAATAAGTTTCGATTTATGGAGAAAAGATATCACGAGAAAGTTCCATATATTCTAAAGACATATATTGTAACAGCAGAGCAAAAACTTATAATGCGCGCTCAGCACAGCACATGATGTTGACTGCTTTATATAGCGTAATTTCTTGGACATTTCGCGTCATTTTTGGTTCGATTTTTGAAGTGCTCTAACTTTTCTTTATTTTTTGTTTGATGGCTGAATCTTCAGTAAATGTGTGGGATTGGATAGGTCTACAATATATATAAAATCGAGGGAACTTGAAGAACTTTCAGTTTTTTATATCTGCCACACATTCTGTGATTCTTACAGGCAAAGCTCTCTTAAGAAGGTGGATAGATGCAAAATAAATGAAATTACAGCAAAAATGAATAAGCTAGTAGTAGCACAAATACAAACAGATAATATAACTGACACAAACAAATTATTGAAAGCAGTACGGAGTGTAGTGGCAGAGAAAATTGGACTGAAGGAAGTGATTGAACAAACTAAACAAAATTAAAGGAGCCATGGCGGAAAAGAAGACTAGATATGGATATAAAACGGCTTAGGAAATATATTAACGTACCAGAAAGGAAGAAAATGAGAGAAATCAGAAAGGAAGGTAAATATAAAAGGCTCGAGGAAAAATATAAAATAAGAACAAAGGGGTTACCAACAGTGGCTGAGTAGCTTAAGCAGAGGGTACTAGCGAAAATAGCGAAGGTAAAGAGGTATGAACAGAGGGTGAAACAATATAGACAGAATAGAATGTTTCAGAGTGACCAAAAAAGGTTTTATGTGGAAATAAACAATTGTCAGCAAAGTAAAGTTGGTAAAGTGATACCAGATACGGATGAAAGTATAAAGTTCTGGAGCGAAATATGGGACAATGGAATTGAACATAATAAGGATTCAGAATGGCTACATTAAATGAAACAGGGAATCGGATATTTGAACCAAAACGATTTGAAGATAAATAAGGAAGATATTACAAAGCAGTGTAAGAAGATCCCCAATTGGAAAGCGCCAGGACTAGATGGAGTACAGGGTTACTGGATAAAGAAAATTACTTCTTGTCATCAAAGGATTGCAGAACAGTTAGATGAGATTTTAAATGGTAAGGCTGAACTACCTCAATGGATCACATTTGGTAGGACAGTGTTGTGCTTAAAAGACCCATCAAGGGGTAATGCAGTTGATAACTTTCGACCCATATCTTGCTTACCATTGATGTGGAAATTGATGACAGGTGTGATTGCCGAAAGTATGTACACTTTTCTGGAGATGAATGATGTACTACCGAATGAACAAAAAGGATGTAGAAGAAAGACTAGAGGAACAAAAGACCAATTGTTAATTGATAAGTTAGTTTTAAGAGATTGTAAAAGAAGACATACATATTTATCGATGGCCTGGATAGACTATCGCAAGGCATATGATATGGTACCTCATTCCTGAATAGTGGAATGTATGAGTATGTTCAAAATCGCAGCAAATGTGAGAACGTTTGTGGAAGGTAGTATGGAGAACTGGAAAACGGAGCTAACATCTTCGGGAGAAAGCCTAGGAAATGTGAATATAAGACGAGGTATTTTTCAAGGAGATAGTTTATCTCCTTTGATATTTGTGATGTGCATGATACCATTAAGCTTGATACTGAGAAAGGAAAAGGCAGGGTATAAATTTCCCTGAAAAGAACTCAAAATCAACCATCTTGTATTCATGGCTGATCTGAAGTTGTTTGGAAAGAACAAGGAGCAAATACACTCACTGGTGAAAACTGTCCATATTGTTAGCAAAGACATTGGAATGGAATTTGGGATAAAGAAATGTGGAATGCTTGTAATGAAAAGAGGAAAGATTGTGGAATGTAATGGAATACAGCTACCTGATGAGGAAACAATAAAGTTCGTAGAAGAAGATGGATATAAATATCTTGGTATACTGGAATTAGATAAAATTATGGAAGGTGAAATGAAGAGAAAGTTTGTAAAGGAATACAGGCGGAGATTAAGACTGG